GACCTGGTAGTGATGACTACAGAAAAGTGTGGGAAGGAAGCAGATGCCGCATGGCTGCTAGCTTTGAGACTTCATTTGTCTTTTTAGATAAACTCTTCTCCGAGTTTCTACCGAAATACAATTGTGCAGGCTCAGGCAGGCTACGGAGAATCCAAAGATATGGAAACAGAACATTGGACACAGCCCAAAAGAGGACCAGTATAGGGCATGGGCAAAACACTGGCAGACACGAAGGCTAACTTTGAGAAGCTGCTGGAGCTGGGGGTTGGGATGGAAGCCTTCCTTTCTGGGCTATAACAAGCAGGGGGCAGGGTGTCAGCTGAAAATTATGCATCTGGACTCCAGGAGCAAAATTATGAGGCCACCTAGAAGTTTTCTAAGTTTCACAGCTTTATAGTTTCAAAGTAGGCCTGGCAAGGAGGACTGGTGACTCGTGGTATATGTTACACCTTTGCTTGACTGGACTGCCCCATGTTGCTGCTCAGGTAAAATCAGGGTAAAAGCTATAATAAAGAAAACTTGGAGTCAGTGTGAGAATCTTTACATTTTAAGTTGTGTAGAAATAAAAACCAAAGCATGCTAAACATAGGAATGGCATCATTTTAGAAATAGATGCTGAAAACTAAGACTGGACACCAGCCATGAGCTCTCCTCTTTCACCCCTGCCATGTTGGGTGCCCTCAACCCAGCTTCCAGCACCAACTCTTCACCAGCTCCTTCTCTCTGATGGCAATCAATGGCTCCGGGGTTTTAGGAGTTTGCTGTTCACACCTGAGTCTGATGCTTTTCCTTGACAGCAGTTTGTATCAAGTGATGTCTGCACACGGCTTCACACAGACCTGAATCCATGCATGCCTGGCTTCTTGCACACCTGGTGTGGTGGTTTGAATGAGGCCTCCATTGGTCGTAGGGAATGGTACTGTTAGGAGGTGTGGCCTTGATGGGGTTGGTGCAGCCTTGTTGGAGGAAGTGTGTCACTGAGGGGTGGGCTTTGAGGTTTCAGATGCTCAACCAGGCCCAGTGTCACTTTCTCTTCCTGCTGCCTACTGATCTGGATGAAGAACTCGTGGCTCCTTCTCCAGCACCATGTCTGCCTAAGTGGTCCATGCTCTCTGCCACGATGATAATGGACTGACTTTCTGAACTGTAAGCTGCCCCCAATTAAATGTTTTCCTGTATAAGAGTTGCTGTGGCCTCCTCCCTCCACCTCATATATGATTTTTAGACATAGAGCTAAGGATCACCAGCCTACAATCCACACTGCCTGAGGAGCTAGGAAACAAGGAGGACCCCACGAGAAGATTGCATAGTCCCTTGAAGAAGGGGAGGGGGACAAGAACCCTTAAGCAAATTGGGAGCACAGGAGGGGGGAGAGAAAGGAGGTGGGAAAGGGAGAAGGGGTGGGGGAGGAGAACAAGAGGACTGAGATGGGGGAGGAATAGAGGAGGGCAAGAAGGGAGATGCCTTGATAGAGGGAGACAGTACAGGTTTGAAGAGAGGTCTGGCACAGGGGAAATGTTAGGGGATCCACAGGGATGACCCCAACTAAGAATTTAGGCAGTGGTGAAGAGGCTGCCTTTGATGCCCTTCCCCTATGATGAAATTGATGTCTACCTTGGTTAACATTCCTAGAACATTCATCCAATAGTTGATCGAAACAGAAGCAGGCACCCACAGCTAAGCACTGAACCATACTCCTGGAATCCAGTTGCAGAGAGGGAGGAAGATGAGCAAAGGAGCCAAGACAGGGCTGGAGAAACCCACAGAAACAGCTGACCTGACCTAGTGAGAGCATGCAGACCCTAGTCGTAAAGCCGGGGAAACAGCATTGGACCAAACCAAGCCCTCTGAATGTGGGTGCCAGCTAGGAGGCCAAGTCTATGGGACCTCCAACAGTGGAGCCAGTGTTTATCCCTAGAGCACAAATGGGCGTTGGAAGCCCATTCCCTATGGAGGGATACTATTGCAGCCCAGATACAGGAAGGAGGGTCTAGGCCCTCCCCGAATGATATGACAGACTTGAAGGTCCCCTGTGGAGGACCTCACTATCTCTGGGGAGGAGGTGGGGGGTGGGTTGGGTGTTGGTGGGGAACATTGGATGGGAGGGCGAGGGAATGGGGGGATGGATATGTAAATATGAGTGCCTCTAAAATAATAATAATATTTAAAAAAAAGAGTTGCTGTGGCATGTCATCTCTTCGCAGCAATAGAAACTCTGAGATACCTGATTTCATGCAATTTCAGCTTCCAGCTTAATTCACGTCCGATCTCATGTGTAGCTGGCTTCATTCACATTCTACTACCCTGCATGCCTGGCTTCATACATGCTTGGCTTCATGCATGCCTTGATACATGCATACCTGGCTTCATGCATTTTTCAGCTTCCAGCTTAATTCATGCCCAGCTTCATGCATAGTATCTGTCAGGTCTGGCTATATGCACGCCTGGCTTCATGCATGTTTAGCATCATGCAAGCCCAAGTAATGTTTGTCTGGTTGCATGAACACAAGGTCTGGCTCTCGCCTGTATGAACAGTCTGTTTTTGCCTCTCTCAATGTCATTATGTCATCAATATCACTTAGGACTCGGAGAAGCTCCTGAAACTGCCCAAAAGGCTTCTCACAGCCTTGTGATAATCCTGGTAATGACATAATGCCACCAAGGCTTTTGCAAAGAGCAGGATGCGCTAAGAATTTATTGTGTGTTACCTCACCGGCTCTTCCCAGGGCCCCTGGGAAAATGTATTTATTGTAAGGCAACCAGGGTTACAGTGCCTTTCCCAGTATATGTAAGGCAGTCAGGGAAAGACAGAGTTTGGATCTGAACCCCAGTCTGACTGATTCCTTTGACATCCCTTCCAGATCCCACTGCAGTGGCTCTTGGGTCACCCCAGGACCAACCGTGGTGCCACATAAGACTTGTTTCAAACGTCTTATCTCCCAAGTGCCGAGTCTGAGACCCTGGGGAGCGGGGCTCAGCCATCTGTATGGAAAGCTGCGCAGAAGGCCACCTGGGTTGTTTTGTTACTAGAATGTGGAAACTTCCTGAAGAGAGAGGAAGGGACCCTGTGCCCTGGGTTTCCTCTTCTGGAAAATGCCAGGTGGTTTCATGTCTACCCTGGAGAAGCTCTGCTTTGAAGGACAAAAAAAGAAGCTGAGGTGAACAAAGGCGTCAGCAGTCAACCTGAGCAGACAGGCAGGAATTCCAGGAAGCCTCCCAGAGTGGAGCCTTCATGTAATAAGCAATACTTCATAATCAGCCACTTAAGCAAACTCAGGAAAACAAAAGGTGCACAGTCTCTGAATTCCTAAGTGGAAAGATTGCGTGGGTGCAGGAGTAGCTGGGTCAGGCAGCCACCACTAGCTCTCTTTAGTTTTAAGAAAATTAGCTCCATGTTAGCGTGACAGCTGACAACTTCTGAGAGTGTGACCTTGCTCTCTCTCTCTCCAGCTTATCTCAGTCACAGGCACCAGGGAACTCCGAAGATTCATGCCCATCCACCTGGAAGGTCTTTAACATCCTCCTGCACCAGTGGAGCCCCTGAATTTACCCTTCGCTTCAAGGACTCCTCGGGAGCTGCCCACAGCTGGTGAGAGCTGCACTTTCCTCATGTCAGTGGCAACAGCAACGGTAATGGTGTGAGCTAAGTGTGGAAGACCTAGCTGTGATTTAGCCCAGAAAGGAAGGACGAAGTGACTTCTTGCTGGTCACACAAAGATGATGTAAAACGGGAAGGGACTAACTATGCCTGTACTTGAACCTAGTGAAGATCACTCTACCACACCAAAAATAAAACGAACACATTTCCTCTGGAAATGCTTGACTAACTAGGAAGAACACATGATCCACCTTTTCGTCCAGGGTTGTTCTTGGCTGCCCGGGTTTACGGTGGGAGCTCTAGCGTATGGATTTCATCTCCCCTCCTCCAGAAAGAGTGCAAGGGAGGCCACCAACTACCAGATACGGTAGCAATCGTACTTGTAAGATTCTGGGAATCCCCAGCCTCTAACAAGTTTAGGCCTGCATAAGCTACTAGGGCTGCAGGGGGCAGGACGGCCTAAGGGACTGCGCAGGTCACCTTAATTTGTACCAGGTCTAAGGAGCTGTGGATATTCTGCCTTTCCTAGAAAAATCCTTATTCAAACTTCACATCTTGTCGCTCTTAAAACTCAAATGAGAGAGCCTGGTATGGTGGCTCACACCTGTATTCCCAATACTTATGGGGCTGAGGCAGGATGATAGCTGTGAGTTTGAGGCTCGCCTGGAGTTACTCCAGGCCCACCTGCACTATGGAATGAAGCCTTGTTTGAAAAAATATATATATAAAGCCCCTGGTGCTAATAATGATTTGTTATGCAAAAGAGACAGCACAAAAGAGTAAACAGCATCCCTTCCTTGTTGCTTACACATTTTCCCAGAGAAAACACTCAAGGCAGACGTATCTATAAAATGATACCTATTGCCACATGCCACCTCCCAATTTTAAAAAAAAAAGGAAACAGACTCAAAGTAAAGGCAGAATGTGATCTAGGGAACATTCATGAAAAGTCCAGATGACCAAATTATCAGAGCCAGGGAAGACTGTAACAGGGATCATGAGAAGTCTGCTCACGGTCCTCCCTGAACCACTTGAGGCCTCCTCCATCTGTGGCTTTAATTGCCTTCTCGGCAAAAGGTTAACTAGAAAATGGCCTCTGCCAAATGTCTCCTCCAACCCATGTAGCAAGGCTCCTACAATTCCCTTTAGTAACAGACAAATGCTGTCATTTATAAATGTAAACTGTCACCTGTCACGGCCCACGCCAAGTTAGGTGTTCTGTTTACAGTAACAATGTCGCTCGCGATCTCCTGGAGCTCATTCACAACTTCATGGATAAAACAGACTAGATCGAAATGTAGTTGGTTTAACTGCAAATTTTTCATCTAGACATTTACTGCTTAATCAAAATCAGTACCAATCAATACCGATGATCTTACCCCACGAAGAGCGTTTAACTTACCCTTGCCATATCCACCAAGAAGTTTTCAAATAACTTCCAAATGTGGTTACTTGTATAGATTTCTTTCATCTCCACTTCCGTGTCAACATAACAGTGATTGACGAAGTTCACATATGCAATCTTCACCTGTGTGAGTTTCAAACGCAAAAGCAAGTTCAATTTTTCACCCACCGCCTTCCATTCTACAACATGAAATGCCGTCTTGCGGGCTCCTGTAGCAGATCACGGTTTGTTTTGGACATGTGCAGGCTCCCTGCTCTCTTCCCTTTAACAGCTATTCCACCCTGGTCCAGGGAAGCCTGTGGTCCATCATTCCATTCCCCCACACCCAGAGACTGCTGTGAAAACAAGAGCTTAACTCAGAGCAAACCTAGCGTCCTTGAGACACTAGGAAGAGCTCAAATGTCTCCGAGAGAAGGCTGTACATAGAAACAAATCATGTCAGTCATTCCATGGGATTCCGGGACTCTGAGACAGAGCCATGAGGAAAAAGGACGAGCTTTCCTGCCTACCGGGCTTCCTGCGGCTCCACTGGCGTCTAGAAAACAATCCTCAATGGCGTGTGCCGTGTTGAGACTGGCCATGGGCTAGGATGAGCTGAGACACCATCATCTCCAAAGCAGCTGCACCTACTCATTGTCCACCAGGCATGAAGCCCTTGGGCCGTCCCCATGTCTCCTCTAATTGAACAAAATCTCTCTCAATCCTATTAAGCAGATGCAGTGACTGTTTTACTTTAAAACTGTGGATGCTGGAAGTGTTGGTGACTGTGGGAGTCAACAACACAGTTAAAGAACATTGGATAAAAACCCTGACTCACTGTTGAAGTTGCTGGAGACACATTTGCTGGCATCTGCTCTGACTGAGGTACCCAAATGATAATTGTGAACCATACATGGCCATTACCCTCCTAGAGCCGACCCTCTTGGAGGAAGGCATGAGGTTTAATGAAAGTCAACTGGCCAGTTCTCCATTGGAGATGTGGGTGGCCGTATCTGCATAGCCAGAGGACTCTTCTCTGAAGAAGTAAAGCATGAAATGAACACAGGAAAGGCGGGACCCCAAGCAGGAACTGAACACGGGGTCTGGCATGGAAAGACCAGGACCTCGGATAAAGACTGAGCCCACGGTCCTCTCCTCCACTCCACCCTTCTCTGCTGTGCCATCTCAGCCCCACCAAAGCAGGAAGGACCCTGGGACTGAGATGCTAATGGTTCCACATAAATACTCCTTCAGGTTCTTGACTGTGTTGTCATGGCCCAAGGTGACCGGAATAGGGACTGAGACCTTCCCTGACCCCTTTTGATTTTATGTCCTTTAGTGTATAGCACATATTTATGAACTTGTCGTGACATACCATAACAGCGGAAAAGAAAGAAATCATTACACTGTGTGTTCCTGGAAGCCTCACTGACAATCCGGGTTTCCTCAGCCGATAATCACTCTCTGCCAGGTATTTTTCCCCAGTTGTCAAAGCTGAGGTAGAAGAGAGGCTGAGAGAGGGTGTGGCATGCTCTCGAGAAGACTCATACTCTGTGCAGCCAGGTAAAGCCATGGATCTATGGTGGGTCCCTGCAGCACCGGCCTAGGCTCTCTCACCAATGACTGACTCACCAATGAGCTACCGGGTTCACACTCAAAACTACAAGTGAACCTTTCCCTGAAAACCCACTACCTTACGAGACATTTGTAGTTGTTAGTCAAGGGGCCTGTCTTCCTTCTGTGCAAACAAAGCTCAAAGTCTTTGTGCTCTTTTCCACTTTGAAAATTACATGACCAATAATCCCTCTACTAAATATGTGGTGTCATCATAACTATTACCATGGGAGACGCCCAACACCCAGGTGAGCTTTAAAGACAGGAGCATTCTACACGTGATAAGCGTTTGTCGGGCTGACCTCAGGGATACAGTCGTCATGGGTCACCACCCTCACGATGTCGTCCAGAGGCAAGAGAGAATTGCACTTGATTTCGGTGTAGACGTTCTTCCCCTCCGTACAGGCTGCCAGCAACTCCACAAGGGTGATGTGGTAGGCTAGGGGGCCGCTCTCATCCCCGCGGGCTCTCTCTGAGCACATCATGTTGAGGAGGATGGGAAATGATGCTCTGTCGTTGTAAAATATCAGCACATCTTCACCCCCGTTGATCAACTGAAGTGAAGAAAAGAGGCCGCATAGCAGATTTCGACATTTCTAAGAGTTTCGACCTACCTGACGACACACAGATCTGTTTACAAACAGAAACAAGCACGCGGACACACACACACACACACACACACACACATACAAACACAAACAAGCACGCGCACACACACACACACACACACACACACACACACACACACACACACACACTGCAAAAGCAGAGCTTCCTCGGGTAGGAGGAGAGAAAGGTCAAATGCCAAGTGACTGGTGACTGATGCTGCCAAAACTGGGCCGGGGATATGAGACCAGCAGATGGGATAAGAACCAAACAGCACTGAGCCAGTCCTGGGGGTGCAGACCTGTAACCCCAGCACTAGGGAAGCGAACGTCTGAGTTCCTGAGTCTGTTTTCTATAAAGTAGTAAAGTGAAGGACTGGAAAGACAGAGAAGCCCCTGCTCCTGCAGAGGACCAGAGGATCTGACGCCCTCTTCTGGCCTCTTCAGGCAGTGCACTCACGTGCACAAACCCACAGACTGACACACTTCTATACACATTAAAAATGAAATGAATCATAGAAAAGCATTCGCATTAGTAAGTAAGCAAACTTACACATTGCTTCAAGTACTTACAACTGTATGAATACCTGGAAATGTCCTCATTTTATGGGAGGGCATCGGAGAGTAGAACAGCTGAGATGACAAGCGGGGTACACTTGGACATGAATGTTGAGTGGTACACTTGGGACATGAATGAATGCTCCTCATATTTTGTTGTATGCTTTTAGCGCTCAAGATGGCAGCAAATTTTATTTACCATGCTATTATCTATTACTGACACCAATTTTCTAAGCCTGATAGGAAATATTTGGTCAGGTTATGGATGATATGTAAATTTCAATTTAGTTACTATATTTAAATTGGTAACATTTAAATCAATGAGCCAATTAACTGATTGGCTGACTTTGACAGTCCTGTTGCAAAGGAATTTATGTATCCAAATATGCTTATGCATAATATTACAACGATTTCCTTATACACAGAAGCATTTCCTTTGATAGGTGCCAAAGGAAGGGCCTACGTATTTGCTTCACAGTGCGCTTTTCATTGTTTATTTACAGGTCATTTGTAAAAGTTTATCGTCTTAGGCTGCATTGCATTTTAAGATTTCTGGGTGACATATGAAATCAACACAGAGACATCAGACATCTCTCACTTCTAACTGAAAGGCATGTGGCGATGGAAATTTCCCCAGACCAACGCGATCCCCCGGGTAACAGCTTCCTTGCAGCTGTGGGTGGAGCTGCTCTGATGCACAGGCCACCAGCCTGCATCTAGTCACCAGTTCTCCAAAGGGCCACCTTTGTGTCCCTAGTGAGCAGCTAACCCACATCAACCTTTCCAAAGCAGTTAGCTCACTTTCCTAAGTTCTTACCTCATTCAAAATACCCAGTTCCTACTGCTCTAATAGAGCCCTGTCAATCACTTATTAACTCATGCGCTGTTCCTCAAAACTATTACAAACAGTGGCAGAGAGTACCTGTCCTATCATTCAGAAAGAGGAATTTTTAAATAGAAAAATTGTGTTAATTCCAAATAACCTTGTGATCTCCTAAGATTTCACCCATTGTAGGAGCTGGAGAGGTGGCTCAATGGTTAAGAGCACTTGTGGCTCTTGCAGAAAACCCAGGCTCAAGTCCCAGCACCCATATCAAGCAGGTTATAAATAGGTGTTGCTCCATCTCCAGGGGATCTAACTCCCTCTACTGGTCTCCACAGGCACATACATACACATGGTGCACAAACAGACATGCACACAGGCACACAGAGACATGAACACATGCTTACATGCACACAGAGACATGCACACAGAGACATGCAGACACGCTTACATGCACGCATGCATACATGCACATGCTTACATGCACACATTAGTGACATGCACACATGCACACAGAGACATGCACACATGCTTACATGATTACATTCACACAGAGGCATGCACACAGAGACATGCACACATGCTTACATGCACACAGAGGCATGCACACAAGACATGCACACATCCTCACATGCACACATTAGAGACATGCACAACACACACATGCTTACATGCACACAGAGGCATGCACACATGCTTACATGCACATAGAGGCATGCACACAAAGGCATGCACACATGCTCACATGCACACATTAGAGACATGCACACATACACACATACAGACACATATGCATACACACACAATTTTTAACAGAGTAATAAAGTGTATAAAAATCAGGAACCATGAATTTGTTGCCTCCAAGAAATACACCTCTTGATAAAACACAACTACTAAACTCGGGTGAAGAATGGAAAATACTTCTCTAGCAAATCAACCTAGGAGACAAACACGTGCTGATGTTCCCACATCCGACAAAACAGACTTATGATAAAATTAATGGGAAAGAATAAAGAAGGTCATTTTATACTCATTAAGTGAGCAATCAATTATCATTATGTTATAATTATAAACACATATTCTCTGAATATATGTGCATCTAATTGTATGAAACAAACTCAATTATCCCAACACAAGAATATTGTGTGAGATCAACACTTCACCCTCACTAACTGATAGGTCATTTAAACAAAAATAAAAAGAGTAATTTAACAGCTGAATTCAATGATACCATTGATCAAAGGGACTTAACAGATATCCGATGAAACTTAATAGATATTGTATGACATACTATTAAATGATGAATTTGTCATTGATGCAACTAATAAAATAATTCCCAGAAACAAAAGAAAATAAAAGATAATATCTCAAAATATATGGGATACAAGAAAACTTAAATAGGAAATTAATAGCTATGATTGCCTACATGTGTAGGCATACACACACACACACACACACACACACACACGCACGCACACAGACACACACACACACACACACACACACACACACACACACACGATTTTTCAAATTTAAAAATGACCCATTATGTAACGGATCCAATTCCGTTACAGATCAAAAAGAAAAACTCTTAATAAGACCGTGAGGTCAGATGGCCCTGAGTCACTGCACTGCACCAGTGTAAACCTGTGGGTGCCTCAGCAGTCACAGTAAACCCAGATGGCTCCGGAGGTCTTTCCCGCTACAAGCTGGCGACGCGGGTCCAGGCACAAACCTACCTCGGTCATTACCATGTCCTGGCATTTCTTCACGTATTTGCCATCTGCTTTCACGATCGTCTGCAGGAACCGCAGGTACTCCACGTGGCGGCCGTGCGTCTCAATACAGTGCACAAAGTGCTGGACGACCCTCTCGCTGATCTCGTTGCACAGGTGATAGTTGTTCATGAAGATGTGTCGCATGGTTTCTGCTTCCAGGAGCTGAGCAGAGAGGGCGCACCTGCGTGACTGGGCGGGGCCAGGGTTCTACAGGGCCTATGTTCCCTGACTGCCATGGGCCTGGTGTCCTAAGTGAAGCCACCATGAGTGGCCAGTGCCTGTCCTGGGTGAGACACCATGAGTCATGAACCACTGAAGGACAGACAGACATCTGCCTCACAATGGGACTCAGCTGGAGAGAGGAAATTAGCAAGTGCACTGTCAGCGACTTGAGGGCAGCTTATTCGTTATTCCAACTTGGCTCTAAAGATCTGCTAGTTTTTTATCCTTTTGTGAGAGTATGGTATAAGCATGTGTGCTGTGTGCACACGTATATGTGCTCACAGGTACACGTGCTGTACATGTATGGACATGCACATGCAGAGACCACAGCAGGATCGGCGCACTCCTCTGTCACTGTCCTTCTTATTCCCTTGAGGCAGAGTCTCTCACTGAACCTGAGACCTATCCCAATTACACTGACCGGCCAGCAGGCTCCTCCAGTTCTCCTGTCTCTGCCGTCCACACCGATATTACGGGCACACGAGGCCGTGTCTGGCTTCTATGTGGGCACTGGGGATCTGAACCCAGGTCCTCACGTTTCCACAGAAATGCTCTTCTTCAGCCCCAAGATCTGCCCCCAGGCTTTCAGCTGGTCATAGTCAACGCAACCTTGGAATATTCAGCATCTAGCTCCTGTGAGTTTGTTTTCGGTTCGGGTTTTGTGGTGCTAGGTCCTGAACACGCTAGACAAGCTGTCCATTACTGAGCTACAACCCCAGCTTCCATATTTAGCTTCATCATGGTATCATGAAAAAAGCACTAAGCTTTCTAAAATCCTTATTCTAACATTGAATCGCATGTCGTAAATGAAACCACCGTTTGCAGATGAAATTTGTCTAAATTTTCTAATTAAGAGTTTCTTCTACGGAAACACTCAAGTTTATGGAGTGAATCTCCAGGGAAGAACGATGTGCAAAGGTCAACAAAGTTTTTCACAGAGCAGTAAATGCTGTACGCGCTCTGCCTGCCGTAAGTGTTAGGGGCCGCCACGGTACTTACTCCAGGAGTCAGGAACAGGTTGAGATGTTTGTGAAGGAGAACTTGATTCTGTGGGTTCCCCCGGCAGAAGTTCTGCAGGAAGGCGTGGGCTAATTCCATCACCTCGTTCATCTTCTCATCGTTCTGCAGGCGAAAGGGCAGCACGTGACACCGAGAACGGAGGACAGGCTTACACAAAACCACCTCCCTCCACCAAGCATGCCGCCTCCTGGCTCTGTTCATGCTCTCCTTTCTCCACGCCCTCTGTGGCTCTGTCCCTTCCTTTCTAGACCGTTCTCTCCTTCTCTTTATTCTTCCTGCCTGTCTGCTCCGTTCCTCCCACCCTCTCCATCTTTCCTCCAGACTTTCCAATTACCCACCCATGCCCATGCTAGCAAAAAATGTGAATTAAAGGCTGGATGAAGGACGGGGTATTCTCAATGGAACCTCAGGAAAGAATAGTTAGTTATTACAAAGGGAGAGGGAGGTCCTTACAGTGGACAAACCAGCAGACGCATCCATCACTCGTGTGGGAACAAATCAGAGCCTCATGTGCCTGCTAGGAAGCTCGGCACAGAAACTAGAATCCTTCCATGTTCCCACCGAAGATAAATGGAACCTGAGCAAAGGAGGAAGTGAGGGACGCTCTCCAGAATAACTGTCAGTCTACAAGAGAGATCAGGACTGAGAGAGAGCAGACAGAACAACCAAGCCCGGAGTTAGCGTGCTCCTAAAGCAGATGCTTTTCTCAACCGGACATGGCTGGAACTATGGAAGAAACCTGCGCGCTGTGTTGGATTAGGTGATGGTGTATCGTGCTTCTTCCTAATTTACAAGGTGGAAGCAGGTTTCACAAAAGCACACCCTTGTGTGTGGGAAACACAGAAAAGAATCCAAGGACACTGGGGTAGGGGTTGTCCTCTTAAACAATTAAGGAGAGAAAAATTCTTTAAACTTGTTGATACATTTTCAGTAACACAGATCTGAAGGAAGGCGGGACAGGGCAAACCTTTTCGTAGGGGATCTGCAGAAGGTCCAGCACCACCGCGTGAGCCCCCATGTTCTTCAGCAGTCGCTGGTGTTGGTTGCGACACTTCTTGTTCTGCACGCAGAGCTTACTCAGCCTGATCAAGATCTTTAACGAGATGAAGTGCTGCATTAGACACAGCCATGTAACATGCACCTGAACAAAAACAACCCCTGTGTGCACACGCAGAGAGACCGCACCCCGGCTGCTGACCTCCTTGACGATCCGGTAGTTGTTGCCTTTGTTGCTGTCAATTTGCGGCGTCTTCACGCCATCCTGCACCGGACTCAAGAGGTTGGATTCCTGAAGAGAACATATGTGTTATATGTTTGTAATAACTTACCACTCTTACAATAAAAATAAAATTTGTAGTGATTTTATTTTATTTTATTTTTTGGCGAACCAATGAGTTTATTAGGGTTCCTTACAGAAGCATGGCTGACATAAAGGCAACTAGACTTCTAGAAAGTCCAACCCTCAGCGTGGCTTAGTGATGGCCAAGTGGTTTTATTTAAAATTGTTGTTTGAGCTTTGATTGGTGCATCAAAATTTTCTCAGCTTGAGGGAAACATGCACACTACCATAACCTCATAAAAACCAAGTTACACGATAAATAGATGAGTAGCATTGCTGAGCATTAATTAGTGAAAATTAAAAATAAAGGGCTGTTGGACATATTGCTAGTTTACAAATCTATGTGTGCTGCAGACATACCATGGGTTTATATTTTCAGGAGGGGAAACAGTTAAAATCAAGGGCACACCAGTCATAATTCTATCACCAAAGACAAGATGTAAGGAAATGATGAACAAAGGAGCAAGCACATCACGGCATTGAGATACATGTCAGGGAAGAAAAGGCCAACTTAACCCCAGGATGCTGTGCCCGGTTACCATGACATCCGTAAGAGTCAAACTTGGAGCAGATCAAGTGTGTGCAGGAAAATGAAGAAAGAAAAAATAGAAATTAAATTAAAAAATAATATTTCAAATTACTGCACTCGTAAGACTTATGGACAATTCTGAGACACCGAAAATAAGTAATTTCAATAACCACTATCTGCTACATCACATTCAGAAAGAAATCCAGGACATGTACACACTTTAAATATCAGCTATTGGAATTGCCATATAAAAAGTACCTATTAGCAATGTTTTCCCATAAAACGTTTGTAAGTCTCACTATGTGCCTACACTAGCCTACTGTGAGCTCCTCTGAGAGAAATAAAAGATCCTGCAGCCACCTCAGGAACCCTGAAATGAGAAATCAGAGGTGTGAACCGAGTAAGACTTGCAATCCAAGGAGAGGAAAAGAGCAGCCTCAGCCTCAGGCAGCGTGACTAGAGGAGCCCAAGTTTAAGCTGAGGTCTTCAAGATGAACACTAGCTAGCTGAGTATGAGGGGTGCCTTATAGGCGGTGGGGCAGAGTTTCCAGAGAAATCAGAGGTACCACGGGAAGAGCATCTGGAATATGCACGGAAAGTGGTAAGAACTGTTTACAGCCTGCACAGAACCGCACCTGGGATCAATGTCAAGTTCAAGTTGCATCAAAAACACTCTAACCTCCTGCATGTTGGTAGTGTGGGGCTCCCTTGTTTAGTGGGGGCTGCCATCTAAGCTCAGGAAAAAGCAACAGAGGTGCATGAGGAAAATTGACATTGTGTTTTGTTTGTCCCAAGCTCAGGAGCAATTAAAAAATTAACTCAACTTGAGGAGTTAAAGCAAATGCTTTCCCTGTTAGTCAAAGGAAGCCAGCGAAGGGCTCTGAGCCACAGAAGGGTGCGGTCCATCTGAAGCTGGCACCTGTCATCAGCTTGGCGTTTCTTCTTCAGGTCCTTCCTGGTAAATACTGTCCCTGCTCTCCTGGTCTGAAACTCGTCTGCCATTGCCAAGCATGAAAACCCCTGTAAACACCACCCCAGTATCATCACTACCCAGAAGGCTCTCTTGTGTCTGTGCCTCCGAGAACTGGCCTTTGGAGTCATGGGTTTCGGGAACACCATCTCCCCAAATCCTCTCCCTACTTCATGCCCCCTTTGTTTCCGAGACATGAGCAGGCTCAACCCTCTGCGACCTCTCACCGTATAAAAAAGTGTGGGCAGGTTGAGGTCATTGAGAGTTACTGCTTGCCCCAGCAGACTTGAGTCACAGACACTTCTCCCACTGGAGAGGCAACTGTGCCCCACATTTAACCTCCCTCTCCCTCTCCAGCATCCGTCTCCGACTCAGAACAACTGGGGTCACCAATGATGGGAGAGACGGACACTGGAAGCCTTTAGGGTTTAGAAAGGCGGATGGGAGCTGGTCTGTCAGCTGTCACCATGGCTCGAGGGGGAGCTGAGGGCAGCACAGCCTCCACCCCAGGTACAGAAGGGGGACAAGTGAGACACTGTCGGCCAGACAAGAGTCTAAGAAGAGACTAGTGCTAACCCTGCCTTGTTGGGGAGGTTGGTGCAGCCCACAGGTAACCAGCTCCGTAGGATACTCAGCTAGACTCCAGCCGGAGAATTTCCAGTTCCTATCAAAAAGGATTCACCGGTGAGAAGCAAAGGTTTCAAATTCTAGAATTGTAACCAAATGTTTTTTTTTGTTTGTTTGTTTTTTCTAAACTGGGCCTCCTATAATCTCAGCGCACTAGAAACAGGGGAATCTGAGTGCAAAATCACGAGATTGAGGCAAGCCTGGGCTACTTGGTACCCTATCTCAAAAAACAAAAACAAAACAAAACACTAGACTCCCTCTTCGAATCACAGAAGTGGGGCCCGTATTTTCATAAGGCCATTTCACCAGGAAGAACAGCTCTGATGAACCAATATCAAGATCTTAACCTGAGAGCAAGTCTCAAGGCTAGCAGAGCTCCTCACGCGGAGTCTGCCAACATTAAAGAAAACAGCAAAAACAAGCAGCAAAGCCTGGCAGACAACGACCTCAGGAGAAAGCCATCTTGCTTTTAAAATAGCAGCCTTGGGCTGGGGATATAGCCCATTGGCAGAGCCCTTGCCTGGAACGTACATGGTCCTGGGTTTGAATCCTAGCACCATTAAAAGGAAAGTAACACTGGCCACGGCATTACGATAATTATGCTCTTTGGTTCAACCCAAGGGAAGAGACAAAAAAATGCTCAGCTCTCTGAAGAAATTATGAAGAATAATTACTTTAATTTAAAGATGCCAGGAGTCAACAAAAGGCGGGAACACTGGAGAATTCAATAAACAATCCTTTTTAATTTCTGAAAATAAGTCAGTGTAAGCAAGCTGAACAAAAACATCAACCCACAGAATATCTGGATAATTCCAAGGCAGGGATAAAGATTCAGAAATATGCAAACTTATGCAGTGTGTAAGGGCAGTTTGTATTATTATTATTATTATTATTATTATTATTATTATTATTATTAACAGGCTTTAAAAAGATGTTTCAAGGTTTTACATCCCTAGGATCAGAAATTGATGGTGTTCATTATATCCTACACAACATTAAACCCAGGTCAGTGATCAAATCCACAAAGCCCTGAACTTATTCTAATGACAAAATACTGGAAAACTACAGTGTAGGAGAATTAGTTACGTAAAACCCCAGAGCTGAGTAGGCCTGGGCAGGTTGGGGGGCGGCGCCATGCTTACAGCACAAATCCAAATGACATTTTGACAACTGTCACAAAGGACTAATATGGTACCGTCAACTACACGACCTAAACTTATTTCTTCTAGGTGAGCATTCAAAGCTAGCTGATCTCACAGGGTTAAAGGGACTGCAATCACACACTACATATTCAGACTATAAGCCAGGAGCTCAGAAACAGAGCAGGAACAGTCTTCCCGGAAGAGAGAGTGCTGCTCAAAACAGTTCATCACAGTTCTTTTTCTCTTTTCCTTAAAAAAGAGTGTGTGTGTGTGCGCGCGTGCGTGAGTGCGTGCGTGCGTGCGTGCGTGCGTGCGTGCGTGCGTGTGTGTGTGTGTGTGTGTGTGTGTGCACTCGACAGGCGGGGAGAGGGAGGGAGGAAGACAGAGAGAATGCACTGGCATTAGTAATCCAGCATCTAAAATCTAAGCAGGAGGCTTCCAGCTTTTTTATTTATTTTTTTTTATTTTTATTTTTTTGCTTCTGGCTTTTAAAAACAGAACTTTCCAGATCCTAACACGTAGAGCCATGAGGCACCCACAGCTGAGAACTAAGACCATCTATTGGAAACCTTCTCCTCGTTCCATCCCACCACTTTCAGGAGCTGACCCTCCACAGATTGGCCCAGCAGGCCACGCCTCCCGCTCACCGCCGTGTCCAAAGCCTCCTCTTGAAGGAGCCACACAATGAGGAACACCACTGACCAGCCAGTCTTATCCCTAATTCTGACGGCAAATGTCCATTTCCCGCCCCACACTCCTACAGGCCATATGGGGGAACAGTAATGGCCCATCTTTCAGGTTTTGTCAGTCAATCCAATTTCAGTTTAGTTGACACTCAGAATTAATGTCCCCTCACCACCACCCCTGCACACACATTTCAGATAACTGAAAGATAACTCCTGTGGGCCATGAGACACTTTGTCTCCATCGTTAAGGGCAATGCCAGCTACCTAGGACAATGTCTGGCAGATTACAGAATGAGTAAAATCTGCAGATAAATACACCTGGCCTTGCAAGTAACATCACTGTGGCCCATTGTGGAATCTTGAGGAATTCCTGCTTCCCTCAAAGATGTGTAAGGCTACTTGAGGGCTTGGTCCAGGATCCACAATAGACTCATGAGGCTGTGTGCCGCACAGCGGGCAGATAGCTTGCTTCTGGGTTCTAAACCCAGACCCAAATTCCTTCCCCACATTTCCTTGTCTCTCCATCCCTCTGACGAAGTAACAAAAGGTGTGCCCTGGACACCTTCCTTTTCCTTGGGCTTCAGGAAATACAAGGAATATGTTTGATTGATAGTCTTCTGTTTGTTTTACACAGGATTTCGTGTATCCCAGGTTGGCCCAAACCTCCTAATTAGACAAAGATGACCGTGAACTGATCTCCTTGACTCACCCCGAGTGGTGGGAGTGCCCCACAGCCAGTTTAAGCAGCTGCACACTGCACCAGGTCACCACATTTCCTGTATCAGACTAAAGAGCCACCCTGTTTCCAGGAAACGGCAGCTGGATTCGTCAACCTTCTAGACCAGTGGTTCTCAACCTTCCTAAAGCTGCGACCCTTTAATACAGTTCTTCGTGTGATGGTGACACCAAACCATAAAATATTTTGTTGCCACTTATTAACTACAGTTTTGCTACTGTTGTGAATTGTAGTGTAAATATCTGTGTTTTTCCAGTGG